TTTTTTGGCAGTGCTAGGGATGAACCAACTAAGATTTTGTACAATTTTCTATCTCAAAATTATCTCTTACTCATTTCTAGCGCTTAAATATTTTAATCCACATTTATTTTGCTTAGTATGTATTGTTTTACTTCAAATAACAACAAGCCGAAAACTGAATGTCTCAAGCCAAAAAAAAAAAAAAAAAAGAAATTTATTGTCAGGAAAATTGTTCTAGATATGTAAATAAGAAAGAGAGATTTCTAGGTGTTCTAGTTGTGAAATGTTGGGTATTGTTTCCTGTAGAGTTTCATAAGCTTTTTCTGTAAAGGAACAGATAATAAATATTATGTGCCTAGAAAAAATAGAAAGCCCAATATGTGCTGCGTACTGTGTAGAGGAGATGGGTATGACCTTACTAATCTTTGGAACAATTATCTGTCCTTTTTTCTTAGATAATGATGTTGAATATGATCTTCAGTGAGACATCTGTTGAGCACTGCAAAACGCAGACAGAAAAGCAGAAAGAATGCAACTTCTTCTTAATAGCTGTTCGCCTGGCTTCACTGAACCAGATCTTGGATCCCTGGGTTTATCTGCTGCTAAGAAAGATCCTTCTTCGAAAGTTTTGCCAGGTAGCAAATGCTGTCTCCAGCTGCTCTAGTGATGGACAGAAAGGGCAGCCCATCTCATTATCTAATGAAATAATACAGACAGGAGCATGAAAGAGAACACTTAACCAACTAGCATGTTCACAGCTTTTGACAAGAAATAGCCCTAAACTTTGTGAATTAGGCATCTCTGGCATGCCACTGTTTATGCATTGAAGTGGAATTTTTATATAAAGCTAAATGGTCTGAGAAGCATAAATAAATCCTTATGTGCCAAAAGCACTGAAGCATAAACAAAGGAAAATATATTAATAACAGTCTAGTGTGTTTTTTGGATCTCTGCCATTTGTAGCTGAATATGTGATTATTTATGTGATGAAAACACTTATTATAAATGATCTTGGTCTATTGGAGGGGCTAAGAATGGTTAATATCCCAGTATACTGAGCACATGGAGGACAGAAACCCATATATCACTGAAAACAAGGGGTAGCAGCTTGTTCTTTTTTCAAGTACATTTGGTCTTCTGTGTTCTCTTTCATTGTCTCTGTCACTTTTCCTCTGTCACTTTTTCCTGCTTATGTTAAAAAGTTTAATTAAGTTGAAAAAAATGTATGATGTATCTAATATTCATTAATATTGATGTTATTTAAATATTGTTCAATACATCAAATTAGGTCCTAGCCTTACAAAGTTTAAGTGTTGGTAGGTTGATATAGAGTTTTACTTCTTATCTGAATAAGAGCCAAACCTTCTTATTTCAAATATTGTAGAGTTTGTGGCTACCCCAAATTGCTAAATGTTCTTTCTTTTGAAAATATTTTACATTCCTACAACTCTGGAGATGATTCATGAAAGTGATCTAGGAGAGTCAGTGAAGTGATTTTTCAAAATGCTATTTAAGGACTGATTTGAACACTACATATTAGTACATTTCCCTTGACTTTTCCACCAGAAGAATTCTCAAGTATTTTGGATCTTTAAATACCAAGTTGGATTATAAAACAAGCCAATATTTAGAAAGCTCAATAAAGACTTTCTGTAGTTTGGCTCATTTGAATGAGAAAATTGATATTGACCTCTCACAACTAACTCTCTGTCCCCTGTCTTCAAAGTAGTTCTATTTAAATATGCATTAATATTTGTTACTTTTTTCTACAGTCCTCTCACATACAAACTATGAAAGCTAGGATTAACATCTTTGTGGCATAAATAAATCACTACATTAAGTTTGGGGAATTGCACTTTAAAAAAAATTTCCCCAATAGCAATAATCCTGTAATTTAAGACTTCACAAGATACTTTTCACATTCATTGATATTTTCATTTTATAAACTCATTAACATTTTCTTGTGAAGATTTTAATTTATAGTTCATTGCTTTCTAGTTCTTCAATGTTTGAGATTTATTTATACTTCTTATAGAAATAGCATTTTTCTTTGTGTTTAGTAGGCATTTGGGAAATAATTAATTTTAACATGTATGATATATCTATTTGATTTATATATGTGTATATATACCAGCTTGGGTCAATCAGGAACAATCACTTTAAGTCACCATGTCAAATTGAGTCAAAAGACAAAAATCTGCTGAAAGTACTCACATAATTCAGGATGGTTTCAGTAATCTAGATTTTCTTAAAAAGATGGGGAAAACCTATTCTATACCCCATTATAAAAATTTCTATATGTTACAGAATTACATTATCCCATAGGTTACTACACAGGGTATAGGACAAAACTATCTACTTTTTTCTCTGGTGGGAAAAAAAATCCAAGGAACTTAATGGACTGTACAATAAAAAAACTTTTCCTGGTGGGTAGTCCTCTGACCCTCAGTGATAATCAGATAGTGGATTTGAGTGCCATGAGCCTATTTTGATTATAGCATCTGGAAAATCAAAATTGTCAAATAAATGCTTGTTCAGTGAATAAATGAAAGTCTCCCCAAGCTGCATGCTCCTTGGTGAGGCACATGCCATAATGTTGACATGTTTCATACCATTGCAGTCCAGAAAGCTGATAAATTGGAAGATTCCTGCTAATTTAATTACAGGGATACAAATTTATCTTCCAAAGTGTAGTACCCTGTTGTTTTACAACAAAGTGCTTTATTTGTATTAATAATTTAGGAGTCATATTTCCAAATGATAATGGAGATTACTGTCAAAAAATATCATTTTTCATTAAACCACAAAACACAGAAAGAAAAAAGAGCCTGAAACTTATTTTCAACACTAAATAAATTTCTGCCCAGGAGATACATGGTAGAAATGGATAAATGGCCATTTATAAACAAGCTTGAAAAGGAATAAATTGTATGAATAGCATGTGACTTTTGTTATGTAGACAGCCATTTGTTAGTCCAGGGAAACCTAAACAGAAATAAAAATCCCAAATGATTTCAGTCTTTGAGGATAATTGAGATTAGATTTCAGAATGTTGTACAAAGGTTCTAGGGTCGTTAGAAAGTGGACATCTATGGTTACTGCAGAGAGTCATATCTGTTTCTAAGTGCAAGTTGATTAGCCTTTAAGTTTATTCTCAGACACTTTGTTTATCTGTGCATATATTGAAGTAGGACAGAAGAGGCTGGACACCTGAAGAATTTTTAGGAAGCAGGTTTCTTGACTGCAGGATTCAGATTTGTGGCTCTAGAATTTTTCCTTTGAACAAAGATTTAAGAAAATTTCTTTGAACTTTATACCCATGGGGGAGGGGGCACAGGTTTCACAAGATTTTACCCAGAAAACAGAGATAATATCTTTTTGTAGGACAAGCTTGCAGACTAACTCTGTCACACCTTTTGTGTGTAAACCTGGCATTTACAAGAAAGAGGAAACTACAGACCAAAGTAACCTCTACGGACATCCTGCTGATCTGACAGGAGGAAAAGCTTAATTGTGGCAAGGGTCTTTTGGAGTTTTGGAGGGTGGGGGTACCCAATCTGCTAAAATATCTGAACAGGAAAAAAATGCATAAATTATGACAATTCCTAAACTCAAAAGTGTTGATTAAAAAACAATTGGAGACACAGAAAACCACAAGGAAAGAAGCAAGTGAATGGAATGTAAAAATATATGCAATGTCCACAGTGTGTATGATTTTTCAAATAGTAAATAGATACACTGTGCTCTGTCATAGAAAAGAATGAAGGCATGTTTTCGAATAAGAACAGTTAATTTTTAAACAAAAAAAACAAAGGCAAAAGTCTTAAAAATAGTGTTCAGTTGAAGAAACAAAATGTATTATTTCAATATATACCAAATTTACCTAATGCTGTATACCAAGATATTCTAAGTAAATGCAAATGTTTAGTCAGACTGGATTTAAACTACACTGAAATAAATGGTACATATATTTTGTCTCCTTAATGCATCTTTTTTTTCTATAAAAGATTACTTGACAGAAACGAATTGTACAACCTCATGTAAGTTAACTATGAAAAGATCCTCTGGCCATGCTGACATTGAATAATGGGCAAACAAAAAGTATGACAGGCAGTATTCTGAGAATGTGGTCACTTATTGTCGCTATTCGAATATTAGAATTTCAAGTAGATTAGGTCTTTTATTTATTTAATGTTTTTCATACATTTTGTTGGTGCTTGACTCCAAATTAGTGATCCACTTTTGATCTTCAGCATGTGACAATCATTTTATACTTCTTTTGGATTAAGATCAAATTAGAGACAGAAAAAAAAATTTTTTCTTTGAAACTTTTGGCTTGTATGTTGCCTACTTATTTTCACAAGTCAGTCCCAAAAGCTTCTTGAAATACACAAGATGCTGAGATGAGTGACATAATGAGACTGCAGACGATTTATTCATATAAAGACATTAAAAACTTAATTAGAATAACTTCAAAAATTCTGTTTTAATTAAATAAAAACTTCATGCCATAGGCCATGACCTATGTTTTCACAGATTCTTATTTATTGCTTGTTTTGTGCTTTTATATGTTTCAAAATCTATCAAAATTGAGGTGTAAATAAATATACAAAATCTTGCAGTTGTGGCCAAGTCCATACGACTGATTTTTCTTCTTGCAATAATATGCTGAGAAGAGGTGAAATACGTCTGTGATGTTTCATGATTGTGGTAGACATGGAAGAGTGATTTATGAAAGTTAAGTCAGTCTAAATTCATATAACACATTTGTTAAGTAGTTGAGATCAGTTTAGCATTACAAGGAAACTAACAGATGGAGACTACAGATGAAACATGAATCAGAGAATTAGGGAAATATTTTATTTGATGTATTCTGTCTTATAATTCCTATGATGAAGAGTCCATTACACACCATGACATTATGATAACACAAGCAGAGTAACTTATGAGCCTCTAGAAATACAATTCCATCAGATATGCAATATATTCATTTATAAGTCACACAGTTCTTTTATTGGGGATGAAAATTATTTCCAGAAGCTTTGCATCAGTGAGTTTCACATAATAAGCAATCCAAATACCTATTGGATTACATATTTCTTCTTTAGGAGCTGGTTGTTTCTCCCTACTCCTCTTTCCTCTAACCTGTCTACCTATTTTCTTGTAGAGAGAAAGTAACAGATAGATTTACAAATGGAGAGAAGCCAGGATTGTATTCAGAGGAGAGAGGGTAGCTTCACATTTCTAATATGCCAGTGCCCTAGAATGTGAAAAGATCTGAGTCTGATGTGATGGGGAAACTTTACTATGGGAACAAAGAGAGGAAGAGAAGAAAGATCACCAGGAACAAATTATTCTTTCCCTTTTTTTGAGGGCACTTTGGAGCTGACCTCCAAAGTTATTTTCAAATGTGCAACTCTAAATTTTGTTGTCACCATCTCTAGAATTGGAATATTTTGATATTAGTATAAATCAGTATTAGTTATTTGATATTAGTATCAAACAGTATAACTAATACTAATTAATTAGTATCCATTAGTATAAATCAGGTACCCAGCTGAAGTCTAGCCAATCATCCATTAATAGTAATTTGGAAATAGTTTCCTTATTTAATTTTTTGTTTCTGGAGAAAACAAAGCTGTATTAGTAAACAAAGAAAAATGCATATAACTTTCTGATACTCTTCAATATTCTACTTTTGGAAGAATTCATATATAGGTAGGCATAGGAGATGGGATAGAGAACTTAAGGATAAGGGAGAAAACCTGTTCACTTCCAGCCTGTTAAAATTTTTTGTCCTTTTAGACCAGCCTACAGAAGCAAAAAGAGGAATGGAATTCATTTATCTTTGCACCTTTGCTCACTGATAGGTCAAAGCTAGGAAGGGTCACCGGCTCTTTTCTGTAAAAGAAAATGACATGTTCACTCTGGTAGTCTTAGAAAGAGGGAGAAAGGGAGGAAATTATTTTACCTACTCTCTCCTATCAAATGTTTCTGTACAAATGGCATGAGACTGTCTAAGATGACTAAAAATAGGCTTTGATTATATTGATCTGTTCACAACAAACAGATGTAGTTCCACTTACATAGTGCACCTAGGGAAGTTCCATCACTGGAACTTAAACCCCTACTTGAAGATCAGTATAGAAGAATGTGGATCTCCATGCCCCCTCCCCAGCATCCCATCCTTACATAAGTTGGCTAAGTGGGAAGGTATGTTTTGTCAACTCTATGTAAACACTTTGTGCAGTTATCTTCAGTACATTTAAAAATATATTCCAGTGTGTTTTAATGGCTGATCTTTAATATTGTGTAGATGAAGAATAAAAGAGACTATGAAAAGTACATTAGAATTTTATGGCATTTAAGTCATAGATAGTCTGTGTATTTAATAAATGTATGTTATTTATGTTGTGTTTGTCAATGGAAAATAAAGTTGAATGTTCTAAAATGTCCCTGTCTTTTTTTCCTGATGCCAACCTATGTCAGGAATATTTAACTTACATTTGTATTAAGTATTTTGTCAAAAATCCTGTTTGGCATGCTTTGTCAAATAAAAACACAATATAATGCAGCAGCCCAATGCTGTATGGCACAATTAGATCATTTTGTTTTATTTTCCATAATCATGCATAGGAAAAAAGTATCCTTAATTTGTTAGAATCAGAGAGAGATTCTTTTCCCATTTTCAACATGATACTTCTTCAGGTTATAATTCCAAGATTATTGTCTTTGACACAAAAGCACATTACAAATTATTCTGAACTTTTTTTCCCTCTTTCTTCTGGATTCTGATGTAGTCTACAGGCAGCCAAGATAAGAATTGTGCCTATTCATAATCAGATCCTTCAACTGACAATACCTAGGTACTGGTGAGAGCTGAGTCCTTGTAGAGAGGAGTGCTGGGCTGTCCTGCTACCAGGCTCTGCATGTTATTCAGGCCACTCTTCCTTCAAAAAAATCTCTGTTGAATGTAGACTGCACAGTCAAGTTCATTAAAAGCAGCACATTGAGCTTGCTGTCCTTCTCACTAAGAAAAGTCATCTGGGAATGTTGGTCCCTGATTCCTCTCTCAGGAGACTTCTGAGACCTGGGACTGGATCTCTACTATCTTGGTTGTATAGCATTTCAGGTAGAAATCATTACAGCTGCTGTTGGTATGGCTGCCCAGAAATGTGCACTTCTCTGATAGACTGCCAACACTGCCACGGGGTGAGACTTTCCCCACTTTCATGTCCTCAAAGGACATGGAGTCAAAGATCCTTGATGTCCTTGTGCTTTGATTATAGTCTTGAGTAAATCCTGTCTGGATGTTGGATACAGAGAATCCAAGCCATTTCCCAGGCTTGTTCTTCCCTTCAACATATGCTGTTGTGGACTTATAATTCCGTGTCAGGTTCTGGAAGGTGCTAAGACAGAAGGATTAATGAAAACCCCCAACTTTCAACACCTTTATAATCTACTTGGGGAATAGGAAATAAGCATATGGCACCACGAGAGCCCCTGGGGGACACGATGCTGAAATGAGAAAGAGTCTCCTGGAGACGATGACATGTAATTGACGTTTCAGAGAAAGAAGAAGCTGTTAACCCGGGAGGAAAGAACTTTTCAGGATATTTTCACTTTACTCTGTTCAAAGCTTTACAACGGACACAGGCTTCAAGCGGACTGAGTTCTAGTGCCACTGGAGAATGTGGCTAGATCCTACACATCCTAGGTCGTTGAATGACAGTCCTGGTCTCTACCCTCTGGGTTCTAGTAATGTGTCCCTCGCTGTTCCATTAAAAATAGCCCCAGACATTGCCAAAGTTGCCATGGGAGGCATGGGACCCCAGATAGAACCTCTGCCTTGGCAACGGCCATGGCCCCTAAAGTGACACTGTGTTCTAGTTGCAGGACAAGGCCTTGGTCCTGACAGGCGCTGTTGTACTTCCTGGAGCAGACGCTCTAGAATACCCGTTTATGTCTGACTGCACAAAAATGTGGTGCGACCACTACAACAATGCCTGGATCACCACAGGCCCTGATCAGCTTCCATAATCACATAAACCCATTCACAGATGAGGAGGTACAATTTCTCAGAAAGTATCATCTTTCTATTGATGCCTCCAATCCCTTTTCTGTTTTCGATAAGAGGCCCTAGGGTTATACGTCTCTCAGAGGGATATCTGAAGACAGTCCTTTTCTCCCGGAACTTTCAAACACTCTTGTTATAATTCTTTGTGACTCGGGACACATTTCCAGACAGGTGGCTTCGTAGGAGAGAGCGGGCTCTGCACATCAGTCTGAGTGACAGAGCTGTAGAAGCCTCACTTCCTCTGAAAGATGATTTCTATAAAAGGGCTGTGAAATATTGGGCAAATGTCTCTTGGTAAGGTTGGGCCTCTCTTGATTCCTTGAATCATCTGTGATTCCTCAGATATAGAGTCATTAGCATGCATTTTGATGACAGAGTTCAAGTCATGATCTCTATAACTGACACTACTTAAACCTCTTATTTATGTAAAATGGGAAGATGGACTTGCTTACCAAATCTGACCAAAAATAATTAAATTAGAATAAGATAACTCATTAATTAACTAATTTTTTGAGGCTGACAAAGACTGTGAATAATCTGTGTTAATACACTGATGTCATTTTTAAAAGAAGACTGAATATGATATACAAGATCATTTGAATCTGACTTAGAAAAGGACATTGGAAAAATATTCATTCTGAAATCATAGCCTGCTGAGGCCTTTTAAAGTTAAATTTAATTAGAAAGTACTCAAGTGTGCTATAGCTCATGGTTTCCTTATCACTTGGGGATCAGAGGCCCCTCTAAGACCCAGAGGAAAGATCTGACTCCCCTCCCATCAAAAGCACAGAGGATTCTGTAAAATGTCAGAAGTCATGCAACCTCCCTCCCCAAAAGTCTGTTAATAGAACTCTTAGGAATTTATGGACACATATTAAGAAATCTTGCTGTGACAGAGACTTTATAATTTAAGGACCCAAGTGAGTTTCCAGGTTTGTTTAGAAAACCTACAACTATAACTCAAACCAATATAATTAGTTCCCTGTGAATACCCAAATTCCCTGATATCTCACTATACAACCATAATGTAAAGCAGTATAATTGGGACAGAGTTATTATTAGACACTGCAATTATTTTTAAAATTATCATATGAGGATAAGAAACAACAAAATCCAATTCAAAAGAGGAAAAATATGTGACTCTCACCATAAAATAAGTTAAAAAGTGAAAGAACAATTTTTTAAAAACTAAATTACAAATAATCCAATGACATTTGCCTTCAGCAATGAGGTTATTTTAGTATTTTCTCATGCTGCTTCAGCAGGAATGATTTAAAATGTCATTTTTCAAAATTCAAGTAAAATATCACCGCCCCCCACCAAAAAATACAACCTATACACAAACAAGCTATTTGGTTAGAATATAACTTCATTTTTATACGGTCTTTATGTAGACTTATTTATTTATACATTCAAACTGTGCTTTGCTATTTAGAATGAAAACAGCAAGAATTACCTTATTGATTGAACATTTGTGTAAAAATGCAAGGCATGCACTCACTAGATCTTCTTACAAATGTAAAATTAATAATGCTTTAAGGAAATCCTTAAAGCTATTAGTAGAATACTGAACTGATGTTTACAGTTTGTACATCTCTAGAGGGAAAAGTATGGAGCAATTAATGACATTTATCTTTGTATTTCTATTGCTTTATTGAGGAAGACTGGAAATGAGATTTTAGAGCATCAAAGTATTTGTCAATTAGAAAGAGCTCTCTAATACCAAAATATCTTGCATTCTGGATGTGTGTCCATGAACTGGTCAGCTGTGGAAGTATCTGCATAACATAGCAAGTTGATTTTTATGGGTCAGTGGTTTAGAATTTTCTTAGAAAATCCATGAAAAGGCCATTATTAGAGAAAAGTAATGGCTCTTGGTTGTCCTGTTTTCAGTAATCCTTGTTCATTTAATTTTTTTTGTTTTAACATCTTTATTAAGCATCTTTACTAAGCAAATTAAGTAAAATTAACTTTTACTTAAAAATATTTGGGGAAATAATCTTGATATATATATGCCAAGAGAAACCAGAGCCTTAAATGTTGTACAGACCTAATTAAATATGAACAACCCTTATTATCCTAAATTTTCTCAGACCATGGACATTTTGAATATACCTGTTACAATCCATTCAGAAAATTAATAATTCAAAGCTAAAATGATTTACTTATTTTATCACTACTAAAAAAACTGTGTACTCAAAGTATTTTTCATATAAAGTCATTTCACAAAAATGTTATTTTTGTATCATAATTAAAAACAAAAGCTTCCCCACTGAACAAAGTGCCTAGGTACAACTATGATTTTTTACTCACAGTTTATTTTCCCTTGACAATTCAGTAAGCTTCTTCAAACTGGAATTTTCTCATCAGCACAAGAATTATTAGGATTAAATGAGATCATAAAGACACTATTGAAAGTGCTATATGAGTGCTTGATATTATTTTATTATCCTCATTTCACTAGTGGAGGGAAGTTAATTGTGACTGTTCTTATCTCAAACAGGTCTAGTACAACCTTCCCTGTTTCAAATTGGGCAATTGCACACTTGCCAGAATGCCCAAGTTATATTAGAAGATTGATTCTGGTCCCAAACCACACGTGTCAATCTAGGAAAGAGGCTTAGGTTCAGCCTCATCTGTAGAATAAAGGATTGATGTATCTAGGTGTGGTGATCCTCCCTTCTCTCTGGTAGTGTCTGGCCTCTGGAAACAAAGCTCATCCTCTCATAGAGACAAAGAGAACAATACTCATGAAAAGTGTCTGTTTATTTTTTTTCACCAAAAAGAATTTTTATTTTCCCACCCTCCCTCCCTCATGTGAGTGGGCTCTTTCTCAAGGATTCTAAGATTCCCCTGAGCCTAGCATTTGTTAATCTTTTCTCCCACCTTTCCCTCTACTCCAAATGGAAACTACCTAATACTGTGCTTTCAGTAGACAAGGAGTCCTATTTATTTATTTACAGCTCAGGAACTATTGTTGCAGGAGCTAGGTCAGGGAGATTTTTGTACATTTGGGCTTAGTAATGTTTGTGTGTATGTGTGCATATGCGTGTGTGTGTGCGTGTGTGTGTGTGTGTGTGTGTGTGTGTGTGTGAGATACTTATTACACTTCAACTGTGTATTTTTTTCTAAAATAAGTTCTTTCCTTGAATAATTTGTTAGTAAAAATATGTCCAACTCTTTAGAAAAATAAATTGTGCTATAAGACTTATGAAACCTACAGTTCCATTCTAACCCTAACCCCTATCCCACCACTCTGACCTCCAGAGACCCTATATTCAGTTGTTGTTTTTTTTTTTAATCTTTCTTCTAGCATAGGTTACCCTATCTCGATACTTGCATTATGATTTCTTGCTTCATCAAATTTAGTCTTCATATGTTGATTTTCTGTTTTGCTAGGTTTAGCTCTGTGTCCATCTTCTCCTTACATTAAGAATACAATTTTTCTTCATTCTTTTACCTCTCTTTAGTTGGTTACCCTGTTGCCTAGATTCCATCTCTTTATATTTGGTAAATTATTC